ATATATATATATATATATATAGATAGATAAAAGAAAAGAAAGCGCGTTGTATCTCGATATTATCGATTCGTCAATTTTTCTTAGAACATCATAGAAAAGCCACAGTAGTATCTACTCTTATTTTGGATTTGTCAGTTCTTAAAGTACGAAAGATCTTTATTGTACCTACTATAGAGAGACGTAAGCGATAAGAAAGATATCTCTATTGTTGCGATATAAAACACAATGTGTATATATATATATATATATATATACATATGATCTTTTCGGTTTACAAGGAAAATGTTTGTTGCTACCTGACTGTTGTTTCTTTTGATAGTCCTTTTGAGCTTCGGTTGCAACGAATCTAAAGCAAGTAAGGGGGGTACCGTGAAAGGATCGAAAAGAGCACGTAGATGTAAATGACTTTAAAATTTGAATAAAGACCTCCTGTCGAATGGCCACAGGAAGTAACACGCCCAGGCTCCTACTTTGCGACCCACTGGGAATTCCTACGCCTCTTTATCTTTCCTTCCACCGTCATCAGCCTGACTTTAAACCGAATTTTCACCGACTTTGGCCCCTTCCTAACTTTTCCTACCACATTCTCTCTCACTCTCTCTCTCTCTCTCTCGCTCTCGCTTTCGCTTTCGCTCTCTCTCTCTCTCTCTCTCTCTCTCTCTCTCGTTCTCGAGCTTTCTCGAGCTCTTTATGTTGTTACAAGATTGCACGACGTTATGAAAAATTTATCGCGAACGTCTGAAGAATGTGTAAGATCTTCCCTTCGGACTTATTTTCTTTCGTTTTCATGAGAAAAGCAAAAGAAGAATTGGATAAAACGTTGGTTCGATTCGTCGTGTGTACCATACAAACGAGAATGGAAATTAGTTCGTTCGTTTGCAGGTAAGAAAAAAAAAAAGAAAAAAAAGAAAAGAAAAGAAGTAATGAAAGAAATCGAATTAATTATCTATTATGGGGTTGAAATAATTCCATTTGCATATGTATTTTCTATCCTATACCAAAATTCCAAATTCTTCGGTTATATTAATAAAAACAAAATGTATCGTCGTATCGTCGTCATTAATAACACTTAAAGAGAAATTTCTCAGCTGTTATAGTTGAAAATTCATTGTGGAAAATAATGGAAAAGGATTTATTATGATTAACGATCTTCGTTCTCTCTATCTATCTCTTTCTCTCTCTCTCTCTCTCTCTCTCTATCTCTCTCTCTCTCTCTCTCTGTCTCTCTCTCTCTTTCTCTCATAACTCATTTACTCTTTCTCTATTTTTTATCAAAAATATAAAATTATTTTTAGATAAATAATAAAATATCGGTTATGATTATTTTTTTAATCTCTATAGATAATATTTACTTCTAGGATTAAGATTTTAACATAGAGGAGAGAGAGAGAGAGAGAGAGAGAGATTGAGAGAGAAAGGAGAATACAATCTCTCGAACTCCTTTAAATTCTCTTTGTTTATTCTCAAGAGTTTGGAATATGTCTATGGATATATTTGTATGTGTTTCTGTGTTTAAATGTGTCTTGGTGAATATGCCTTTCTAAATTTTTCAGTAGCTTTTTAGTAGAGAAATTGGACAAAAGAAGTGCACGAATAAAGTAATTTATATGCAAGAACGGTAGAAGCAACTAAACGAAGAAAAGTATTTCACATTTATGAACCCTTTGTAACGTTTTTACATATATATATATATATATATATATATATATATATATATTTACATGTATATATCATCAAAAACGAGTGGTTCCTTGTCGTTAAAAATTCTTAAAATAAGAATTGACATAAACGTAGTAGTAAGAATTTTTCAATGGGAATCGAAAGCATTTCTTTCGTAGGAAGTTCATAAAAAGAGAGAAAAAAAAAAGAAGTTAAAGTTTACCGACTTGCGAAGTGAGAGAAAGAGACCACCGAAATTGGTTTGTTCTCGTTTAATTTAGAATTTCCTTTGAGAAAAGACTTCTGTAAACGCGAGGACACGATTA